GGCTGCGGCGCGCGCCGGCCTTTTATTCGTTCCCGCGCCCCGGCGCGCCAATGGGCTGAATGGAGTCCCACACAAACAGGCACATTCCTCGCATTCCTCCCCGCCTTCCTGCCGCAGCAGCGCACAGCGGATTGATCCTGACCCCTTGACTCTCGGCATTCCTCCGTCTGAAAAAGCTGGCACGCTCCAGCTCACCAGAAAAAAAAAAAAAAAAGAGGCTCAGTATTTCCAGCATCAAACAGGAGTTTTTCCTATGCCTTCTGCTTCTCACCACTTCTAACTTTTGTCGTTTAAAATCGCACTGGCAATTCTTTCTTTCTTTTTTCCTGACTTTTCTCTCTTTAATAGTTGAGCCCTCTTCTGGCATAAGTCATTTTTAGGAGGTGGGTAGCAGAAGAGGCAAACAAGGACTTCCTACAAATTCCAAACGTTTGGCTTTTTTACTGTTTTTGTAGTGATTTTCGTCTAAGAGGCTGTAGAGTTTTGAAACTCAACGAAAAGCAGAAGGAAGTGCTTAGAACCATTGAAACCTCCAGGGTGCTTACCTGGAAAATCCTGAATGCTGCATCTAAAGTAGAGGAATTTGATCCTTTGTCCTTTGAGATATAGGTTCGGCACAGTCAGACAAGAAAGGGAACAAAGCCCGGGTCGGGGTAGGGGTCCGGGGTCCCTGGGCAGATTCAGAGCACGCTTGCTTTGCGTTCTTTTAGTGCTTGGGGGCAGCTGTAATGTTGGAGGTGTGTGGGGGGGAAAGGGGCCAGTGGCACTCGGTGTTCCGGAAAAATGGGTCTGTTACTGATGTCAGAGCAAATGACTGTACTTCTGCTAGGCACAAGCTGTGGGTGTCAGGATGGTTAACGGGGTGGGGCGGCCAGAATCTTGGAGCTCAGTTGGGGCGCTTTAAACACAGCTGGGCTGAGGTCTGAGTGATTTTACTTATACCAAAAGCTGTATTCTTCAAATGTGGATTGGACTTGGTTTGTCATGAAGTTAAAAAAAGAAGAGGAGGAAGATCATATAAAAAGCACGGTGCACCCTGCTGTGCCTGGTTATAAACAGTCAGGGAATAACGTCTTCTTAGTGACTCACCACACGTAGGTGAATAGTGATTGTGACCTCTGGTTGCCCAAGGTGTGTCGACTGAAATCGGGAGAATGGGCTCTGCCCCCTGCTGTGTGTGGATGTTCCATGTGACATATCTCCCAGGCTTTTTGGGGACTCAGTTAATTAGCTGTGCGCTCATTTGGCATCTGTGTTGTTTAACTGGCTTTTTGTTAGCAGTGCCAGTTACCATTTTATGGCAAGGAGAGCGATTCTAGGGCCATGCCATTGTTGCCTCTGTTAGGCCACCCTTAGTTGATGGGTGTCCCGGTGAGTGAGTTCCTTTCAGTTGTTGGTGCTTCACAGCCTGTGCTTGAAGGTAAGCGTACCTGTTTCCAATGGGAAGACCAAGCGAGGAGGGAACAATATATAGATTGATAACTTGAGAGTAGGCAAAAACTGACCAATATTTTTAAGGTTTCAGTTCATCCTATTGGAAAATGGCCAAGAAGACAAAACAAAACAAAAACAACCAACTTCAGCACCGACCACATCATCTGTGCATAGTTACTTTCCTCAGCAAGCCACCAGTGTAAATGGCCAGTGAAGGGCCTCTGAAGCCCAGGAAGAATTTTCCTCATTGTTATTTAATGTTCTTTCCAAGCATTCCTCAAGGAAAGGAGGCCTGTTAGTTCCTATTTAAAGAAGGAACATTCCGAGTCATGTTAATAGCCACATGTGTATTAAAGGCAACTTGGCCCCAACCTTCACTTCCCCTGTGGATGATTTTAAAAGCCTAAAATATGTGGGAAGCCACAGTGAAATCTTTCAAGACCTAAACCTCCAATTATAGCTACCACTAATGGTTGGAAAGGTGGGGTGGATGGGGAAGGGGAGGGACAGAAATCACGAGCCTCACCTAAGGTGGGACGTCAGCTCATGGTGAGCTCTTTAGCCTGCAGTGTGAGGGACATGGCACAGCCAGCAGTGGGGACTTTGGAAACCTCAGGAGAGTCTGACAGCCAGCACCAGTGGTTTTGTGCATACAGCGAGGAGACCCATTCATGAAGAGGAGAAGTTGCTGGCCTGGGCTATAGTTGGTAGCATGAGTTACAGTCTTAGAACTGCCATTCACAAATCTCTGGGAAGTTAGAGGTAGGAGCCATCTTCTCAGGCTGCCATTTATAAAAGGAAGACACTAAGGATTTTTCAGTTCATAGTGTTCATTGAGGATTAAGTAGATTGAAATTCTCAGGGAATTGGTGCTTCAACTTTCTTAGCTTTTTCTCTCTCTCTACACATGCAAGAGTATTACCATTCTGTGGTATTATTAAAAATGTCACGGCATTATAAAAAGAACTTGGCTGCACTAGAAAATTCACATGGTCTCTCCAATCCCAGTAAGTTCATAGTTAGCTCCAAAGGGATGATTTTAAGATTGGCTGAAAGAAAATAAGCACGTTGAAATGTACAGAACACGTGAAATGTCACAATAAAGTGAAAATATGCAGTACATTTTTAAACTTGGATTCAGCCTTTATGACCAAAACTCTTTTGAAAGTTAAAAGATCATTATTAAGAGAGTCACAGAGATAGACAGACAGACAGACACACACACACACACACACAAAGAATGAGAGAAGACACCCAAGACATTCACAGACTCGAAAGTATCTTTTTATTGTGATACACACCATCAAGTGCCAGGAAATTCAGAGGAAAGGCTGACACTCTGTCCTCAATTCATGCCACAGCATATGAATTCTTGCACTATTATGAGTGACTCAGCAAATGTTTGTGTCCACCTGGGCGGTAAAAATGGAAATAGTGGCTTCTTATAACTTCGTCCAGCTCTGACTTATGCCAACCCTTTGGGTGACAGCAGGTCAGAATTGGGAGAGAAGCAGCTCTTTGAATTTATGTGCATGATGGTAAAGGTGCACCCTTTTGGATTTGTAGGCAAGTGTTTAGCTAGCAAATGCGTTTCCTGGTACAATAGAATTCTCAAAGCTGGACGCGGATTTATTTCCCAAGCTAGATAAGGACTGTGCGTGTCTCCCAGGCACGGTCTTTGCAGGTCATTTGGTGAAGTCTTGTAAGATGTTCGGCTGTGGGTGTACTGCATTCTTTCCCTTGTGTTCTTTGTTGTTTTTCCCCCACCTCAAAAAAAGGTTCCTTGATCAGGTATCAGACAGGGAGAAACTCTGGCAGGACTACAGGAAAGCAGCCAGACTTGGAGTGTTTGTGTACTTAAAGAAGGAATCTTGCACATTTTCAACTTTTTAGTTGCAGACATTTTCTTATAAGAGCAAGCAGAAGCCAGTGCCAACCCTCAAAGCGGAAATCAGAGCTCCCGGGGAAGCACAGCAGAGGAATGTGAGTCTCAGCCAAGAGCCATACGCGAGGCACACACCAAGCTGTCACACTTATAGAAGCCTGGCCGTATAAGGGCATTGGACGTAGCCCGTTTGTCCTTCTGGCGGCTGAGGAGTGGGCTTTCCCTATTTCTAGCCTGCCTGAGGTTCAATCATGTAAATGAATTCCACCAAAAAGGTTGCCAGAGGAGTTTTGTAAGATAATAATAAATATTGTGAAATCTCCAGAGACCCTGGCTTGGTTTACTGCATCTTGTTTACTTAAGATGAAGGGTAAAGAGGACACCGCATGGGCTTGTGAGTTGAAAGGTGGGGAGAAAGCTTCATGCAAATGACATTCACTACTTCCTGCTTTGTTCTCCTTGCTTTTCCTGCTTGGACTCCCTAAGGATGTTTTCTGATGCAGGGACACAGGACACATGTGCGGCGTACGGAGGCTGCCCAGTGTGGTTTGCGTTTTATGTGATTTTTTTCCTTCCCTTGCTTGTGGGTAAAGTTGGGGGCTTGAGCAGAGAGAAAGGAAAGGGCGCTTTTATTTTAATAAGATGCTTCCTATAGCCCTCCATTTGTCTCACTTGTTGGTTTAATTAGATTTGTCCTGATGGTTGACATGGGCCCCTGCGCTGCCTTTCTGGACCGGCCGTGGAGGGGGCGGGGACTTCCCTGGTGGGA